GTGTGATTGGGAGAGCGTCCAGTGCCTGCTCCTGATGGGGTAAGCTGTCCTCTACCTGGAGCTTCACCACCTGCTAACAAAGATAGTCTGTTCTATTCTGCCAAACTCAGGGTATATGATGCCTGGCAAGCCAACCATAAAGCTTGTTGTACTGTCTCAGTACTCGTGCCACTGTATGCTAGCACTTCTTGTTCCTGGTATCCTCCGACTCACTCTGCCCCAGGCAACGCACATTAGAGGCGCAGCATTGCCAGCTATTCTGGATTGCATATCTTCAAGAGAGGTAAGAATTGTTACAGTGCAGCCAATTCCAATCTGACGATGACCTTTCAGCCAAATTCTCGCAGAGTTCGACTTTCCTGCCAGCGGGCTTGGGAAGCTCGCGAGCAGCATGCCTCTACCTGTCGTCCCTGGAGCAGGCACCGACCCTTGCCACGCTCAGTACCAGTTCTTCTTCTTAGCTCTCATTTCAATGAGAAAGTTGTTAAACCGAATTTTGTTCCACCTTTATAGCCGAGGTTAGCCACCGGGCTTAAGGATATCCTCGAGGGAGCTAACAGTGTCTAGACCATACCGAAGACCCCGCAAACGGAGAACCGACACCGACCGATAAGCCTGCCGCGTTTCTATCCGTATCGCCATCGGTGATGTTCGAACTCGACCGTCAGCTTGAAGAGTGGAGAACCTGTTTGCCCCAGGGACTCGATTCTCTACCCTACTCAGAAGCTCAAGTTGCAGAAGTCCCTGAATTTGATCAGACTCGGTCGACGGATGAGAGACTGCGTGGTCATCTGATGGCTCGCTACTTCGCAGCAAAGTCCATCATTCATCGACCATACATCTACAAAACACTGCATCACGGCGCTGTGGCTTCTCTTAGTGATGCCGACGCCGCAGGCGCGCGTACAGCCGTTGGTAGCGCGTTGATGTCCGTGGTAGTAAGTGGAATCTTACATGAGCCGTTGGTATTGTTGCTTCATCCTATCAATTCTTGCAGAAGGTATGGTACTCCATCATAATACGATCGTACACTGACCCTTCTAGTTTGTTTGCTTGCGAGCTACAACTTTCCTTTGTCCTCCGTAGCTCCTATCACTATCTATTGCCACAGAATTGGAAAATCGCGGAAGAGGCACGTAAAGCTGCTTCAGGCTTGATAGAAGACATGTCGCCGACAGCTTTTCGAGATGGCGAAATATTAAAACTTCTGGCTTGCTAGAAGAAACTTACTGAACATGTATTTTATAATTGCTTGAGTACGGTCTTCTAATTGATCCACTGATTCTCCTTGGGCGACCTAAAGTAAACTGTCAACCCCTCGTCCCTCGAGTCCTTGGCCGCTGTCACGCGATACTCGGAATCTTTCTCCACCACCCACTTATTGAAGCTATCATCCCAGTATGACAGACTGACCCTGTCAATCTTCATACGCGCAGTGACAGTCTGACCGACAGGGACAAAGACTTTGTCCCAGCCCTTCAGCTCCCTCACTGGTCGATGGAGCCTCGGGTTAATCTGACCAACATAGAACTGGACGATCTCCTTTCCATCCCGCGATCCAGTGTTGGTGACATCCACTTCAACCTCGATACCCATTTCTTCATGGTACTCATGGCTGCTGATGTGCATGTTACCGTACTCAAACGTGGTGTACGACAACCCGGCACCAAAGGGGAAAAGAGGTTCGATCTTGCGATGATCGTAGAATCGATAGCCGGCGTAGATACCCTCCCCGTAGTGAACCACATCATTCTCACCAGGATAGTTATCGTAAGGTGGAGTATCTTCGATGCGTTTGGGAAAGGTAATGGGTAGCCTTCCACTGGGGTTCACTGAACCCAAAAGCACGTCTGCGAGACAGTTGCCCTGCTCCTGTCCTTGATACCAAGCCTGGACGATGGCTGAGACCTCGTCTTTCCAGGGCATGGAGATAGGGCTGCCCGTCTGGTTGACCACGATGGTGTTGGGGTTCACTGAAGCTACAGCACTGATGAATTCGTTTGATCGCCCGGGTAAGTCCATTGAAACCATATCGCTGGTCTCTGTCTCCCACTCATGATCTTTACCCACCACAATAATCGCAATGTCGCTATCACTAGCCACATCAACACCGTCCTGGAAGAACTTGTCTAGATCGCCGGGGTTCTCCATGAAGCCAATGCGGCCACCATCTTGGACCTCCTCGCGTTCAAGCTCCGCCATGTAATCAAGATCGTATGGCTTAGACTCTCTACTTATGGACTCAAGAAGTAGTTCGTACTCTCGACCAGCTTCCATGTAAATCTTGACTCTCTCCTCCGGCGAACCGTAACTCATGAACAGAGAAGACTTGGGAGACCACCAGTGCCGTTCGATATTGATGATGACCTCTCCATCAAGCATGAGCCTTCCTGGACCACATGAAGAAAGTGAGAACTCATGGAGACCAGTAGTCTTTGGTTTGAGGATAGTCTGTCCCCTATATGAGTATCTCTCGCCAGTCGTCAACTCTGGAGGCAGTCCATCGTAGCAGACCAAGTGGGAACTAGGTCTGTGCTCAACCATGAAAGGCTGGTCACCGTGGTTCATGTTTCGAAACAGCGATAGTTGAAAGCCCGGCTTTCCAGTCTTTGGGTTCGTCATGATGGCTGGGTCGACGAGCGGGATGTATCGATGAGTGAGGATACCTGCATGGGCTTGAACCTTGGCTGTAGGAAACTTGGTGGTTATTTCGGACTTGATCGATTCGTACGGCGTTGTGCGATAGTGAGGCGCAAGGTTGGAGCTACCTCCACCTGTAGCTACGGACCGGAGAGCATTGGGGCCAAGGATAGTGATTCTTCTCCCGTCCAAATTAGACAAGGGAAGAAGTTTGGCAGAGTTCTTGAGCAGAACAATGCCTAGAAGCTCAGATTAGAATGATACTACCCAATCTAAAGCTTCAACATACCTTCGGCGCCAGCTCGACGAAAAATCGCCCGGTGTTGAGGAAGATCATCTGCCTTCTCGTCGCCTTCCTTCCAATCAGGAATGTTGCTCTTTCCAACTTTATGTACAAGCTCGAGCACTCTTGAAGCCGAGGCATCGATGAAGGATAGATCAACAAGGCCTTTCTGGTACGCATCGACAAGATGTTTGCCTCTGCGCCGCACAGGGCCCGGCATCTCGAGATCAAGCCTGCTCTTTGTCAGTTATGGATAAGACACCATGAGAGGAGACCGTGGTTTCTTACCCTGCCCTGACAGATGGAACAACACTATTCGTGCCAAACCAGTCACTCATCACAAGACCATCCCATCCCCATTCCTTACGAAGAACATCCTGAATCAGGAACTCATGAGCGGAGCAGAACGTTCCATTGATTTTGTTGTAAGCCGTCATGACCGTCCAAGGACTACTGTCACGAATGGCAATCTGAAACGGTTGTAGCGCGATTTCTCGCAGAGCTCGGTCCGGAATCTTCTCGTCGATAAAGAAGCGTCGCGTTTCTTGGTCATTCGCGGCAAGATGTTTGATACAAGCGCCAATGCCGGCATCTTGAAGACGATTAATGAACTCGCCGGCGATTTTGCCAGTAAGGTAGGGATCTTCGCTGTAGGCTTCGAAGTTGCGGCCGCCGAGTGGTGTTCTGGGAATGCAAACTGTAAAAAGTAAGAATCGGGTGATATTGAGCGGGCGGACGCTTCGTTATTACCCGTTGGTCCGAGCAGAACATCGACTTCTTTGCTCTTTGCCTCGTGGATCAAAACGCTGCAAACATCTCTAATGACAGATAAATCCCAAGTCGCTGCTAGGGAAACCCTGCGATAGAACCCCTGTTAGCTTCGGCAACGCCGCATGGACAGAGGAAATATTACCCGGTAGGTGCTGAAGCAGCGCTGACTCCGTCAGTGAAAATGCCCCCACGGACACCTACAGGTCCATCCGAGGTCTTGATTCTGGAAACACCAAGCCGAGGAACTGCGTTGGTCCTCCACAAGTCTTCACCTGTCAGCAAAAGGACTTTTTCTTCAAGAGTCATTTGCGAAAGCTTGTTTTGCGCCCAAGCTTTAGCCTCATTTTTGACATGCCCGTTATTTAGGGGAGGCTGGGATTTTACAAGGGTCATCGTGGGAAGATTTGGGCTCGTATAAGAGAGATAAAAAAAAGTAGTGATGTTACTCGAATCACTCGAATCACTCGACTTTGAGTAAGTGGAATGCAATTCCGAGGGATCATTCCTTATTTTATAAAAGAAAAAGAATCAGCAAATGATAAATACATCTGAAAGTCATGCTACGAATGACCTGCTCATCCACTCTTTTGGTCGTGTGAGACAGCATCCTCTTGGCCCTGGCGGAGTTGGTCCGTCTGCCCCCGCCAACTTTAACGCCATGATCAACACGCTCGAATCTCGTTCCAATTTCCTTCCTACCCGATGCAACGTCCCAAACTGCCGGAGCCGCTTCAACGAGTCAACGACAGAGTCTAGTACCCTCATTAATTGCCCGGTTAGGACCGATGTAAACTTTATTGCTGGCCGCTATAAATTTTCAGCAGCATTATGAACGACATGATGGAGACAGTCCTTTTCAGTAGAATCAGCCTTGGCCTTAAAAATCATGACTCAGGAGCATTTTCAGATTCAAGTGCGTCTTCAGGTTGAGGAGAAGGGCCTAGGACTTTCTCCCGAAACTCTTTCTCAGAACTCCTCTTCAACTGAGACTCTAAGCGAGATTCGACTGCCCCTTGGTCTTGACGCCCTTGAACCCTCATTCTCAGTATCTGAACATCTTCGCTCTGTCGGAGTCGACCTTGCAACAAGACGAGATGAAGCAGACAAATTCCTGTAACCATTCAGTTGGTCAGGTTGGAAGAAGACTGTCACTCTATTGGGACCTTTCATGGCATCGACCCTCGCGGCATACGCAGCTGGAGCCTACGCACTGGCTTCAGAGCCTCTTCGTGCGAAATGGGACATCAGTGACTTCCTTTTCAACATCGGAATATCTCTCTTCGTTGTCGGGTTTGCCTTCACCCCCATGATTCTCGCCCCCATCAGTGAAACGCATGGGCGATACTGGACCTTTGTTGGCTCAGGTATCGTCTTCTTCCTCGGGACTCTGGGATGCGCTGTGACGGAAAGCTACGCCGGCATGATGGTCTCTCGTCTGATCACGGGAAACGGGGCTGCAGTGTTTTCTACCCTCACCGGCGGTGTTATGAGTGACCTCTATCGCAAGGAGGACCGCAATACGCCGATGGCTTTGTACTCCATGACAATCATGGTTGGTGCCAGTCTCGGACCACTCATCAGCGGAACCGTCGTGGACCTTCTCGGCTGGCGGTGGGTCTTCTTTATTCAAGCCATCGCCATTGGGATAACGACAACAACATTATTCTTCCTTTTTGAAGAGACTAGGAGCAACGTCCTGTTACGCCGAAAGTGCTTCGTCCTGAATGCGGTCCCCATCAAAACATCAGCAGGGAAGCTAATCATATTTGGGCCTGCAATAGAAGAACGTCTCGACATTGAAGCCAGTATTATCTGGCGAAGCTTTGCTTTCCCACTGCGTCTTCTTTTGAAAGAGCCTATTGTGTTCTGTATGTCGTTGTGGGTCTCCTTTGCTTGGGCGATCATGTACATGCAATTCAGCAGTATTGGACTGGTGTTTCGTAGCGTATATGGCTTCGACAACGCTGCGGTTGGGGCAGTTTATACTGCTACTATTGTTGGCTCGGTCCTTGGCATCGGAATCTCATTAATGCAGGAACCGATCATGAAACGAATGCTGCCTCACAAAAAGTCTTTGTCTACACCAGAACAACGTCTGCTCTCGCCTTGCATTCAGTCCGTTCTCTTACCAATAGGCCTCTTCTGGTTCTTCATGACAGCCAGACCAGATATTTCGTGGATATCTCCATGCATAGCCCTTGGATCGTGTTCAATGGGGATCTTCAGTATCTATCTTGCCGTGGTCAATTATCTCGCTGACACATATCATGGATATGCCTCATCGGCGTTAGCAGCTCAGAGTCTGTGTAGAAACATCTTAGGCGGAGTCTTCCCACTCGTCACGGCTAGAATGATAAGTAGTTTGACACTGCAAGGGACTGGTGGCCTACTTGGTGGCCTTGGGCTGTTATTGACCGGTATTCCATGGCTGCTTTACTTCTGCGGGCAAAGGATTAGAGCTCACAGTCCGTTAGCGAAAGGAATGAAGTGATCTATGAACTAAGACGGTATTGGAGAATCGCCATTTCCTGCCTGTCATCGAACAGGACTCATCCGATGTCTATGCAATACCCTACTAGATTATTACATTCTTTTGAAGCTAGATTTAGTTAACATGAAATTGCTCGGTAGCCTAGAATTATCTTATCCATTGGGAGACAGGCAATCTCTGTCATGTTACTAGAAAAGTACCCGGCAGGGAATCAAAGCTCTAGTCTCCTTAGCATCGAGGTTGAGCAGAGCGACCGGCCTTGACACCGGTGACACGGCTTTTTCGCCGGACAATCTAGCATGACATAGTTGAGTGCCGGTGAGAAAGAGCAATGCACTTCTTGGAAGTAATCATAATAATTTTGTGATCAAGCTAGCTCGAATTCAAGGCGGGGACACAAAGACTCTAACTCCGCGAGAATGGTGGGCCCCATTTTTCAACACTCTGAGCGGAGGAGGTCCGTCTCTCCGCGCCCTGGTCCGATTTGCCTTATAGACTAAGCTGTTTTCAGAATCTGGGGGTCACATCGACTAAGTTTTCCGGGGAACGGACTTCCCTGGTCAATCCGGGGATGAGCACGAGATCACCTAGACCTGGAACCAGACTCTTTGGGACATGTAAATGTCAGGTCATCGAATTGGTGGCTTGCTCTGCGACTCAAACTAGAGCTTGTCTAAGCCAGATCCAATGAAGAGGCGATTTGAAGTATAAAGCTGCTGCATCTCGCCAATATTGCCGATATTCTGGGACCACTGATTGACATCGACTGGTAGAGCCTCTTCTTCCACAAAGCTACCTCCCGAGTCACCATAACTACCAATATTCCTGTTACTCGCCCAGTCCATACTGTGGCCGAGATCCTCGCGCAGGACAAGAGTTCTGTCTTCGCCCTCACCCCGTCACTCATCCATCTCTACGCAATCCTCGCTCCAGCCTGCCTCGTCGTCTGTGCAACCAACGGTTACGATGGAAGTGTCCTTACATCCCTTCAAGGTGTAACCGCATGGAAAGACCAGTTCGGTTCCCCTAAGGGCGCTCTTCTCGGCATCACCAGCGCTTCTTATCCGCTCGGTGCCATCATCTCGACTCCCTTTTCTGCTTACATCTCGGATCGATTCGGTCGTCGGCTTTCTATCATCATTGGGAGTTTCATAATGATAATTGGAGTCATTGTCCAATGTGCCAGCACAAACATCGAAACTTTCATCGGAGGACGTATCATCGTTGGCTTCGGTATCACACTTGCTCTCGCTGCTGCCCCAGTTCTTATCTCTGAGCTCGCCCATCCTCGACATCGAGTTCTCTTTGGCTCACTATACAATACGAGCTTCTACCTTGGTGCTCTTCTGGCCGGATGGGTAGCGTTTGGGAGTTATCGTATTCCTAGCGCTTGGGCATGGCGTCTTCCAACTCTTCTTCAAGCTGGGCCAGCCTGTATTCAAGTATGTTTCGTATTTTTCCTGGATGAGTCTCCTCGATGGTTGGCATATAAAGATCGAGGGGACGAGGCGTACAAGGTGTTGGTGAAGAATCATGGCGACGGTGACTGGGATAGTCCTCTTGTACAGGCTGAGTTCTGGGAGATGAACGAAACTCTAAAGGCTGAGCGTGAGATCGAAGGACAGGGCCTCGGGCTTTTCCTTGCTACACCCGCCAACCGGAAGCGACTCGTTATCCTCATCACACTCGCAGTCTTTGGCCAATGGTCCGGCAACGGCCTCGTATCATACTACCTCACCAAGATCTTGTCAAGTATCGGCATTGCAACCCAGCATGAACAGACTATGCTGAACGGAACCATAAGCACTGTCAATTATGCAACGGCGCTCTTCGCCGCTGTCTTATCCACCAAAGTCGGCCGTCGTTCTATGTTCGTTGGTGGTGGCATCGCAATGTTTCTCACATTCTCAGCACTCACTGCGAGTATTGCGATATACAACGAGACCGGCTCCAAGGCAGCAAGCAAGTCCGCGCTAGCGTTCATCTTTATCTACTACACTTCATTCAACATCTGCCTCAACCCGCTCTTGTTCTTGTATCCTACCGAGATTCTGCCTTTCAGGCTTCGAGCCATGGGACTGAGTATTCTGGTCTTCTCTACCAAAGCAGCTTCTTTCTTCAATCAATTTGTCAACCCTGTCGGTATGGATTCTCTGGGTTGGAAATATTATCTTGTTTACGTTGGTTGGCTGTTAGTCGAGATTGCTGTCTTCTGGTTTCTTTACCCGGAGACGAAGGGTTACACACTTGAAAGAATTCAGGAAGCGTTTGGAGAAGACGTCAAATTGGATGGGCCTGAGGAAAACGGTAAGATAATGGAGGTGAATGATGAAAACAGTGCCCACGTGGAGAAGGTGGCCCAATCCACGGTCAATGTTGCTTGATTACTGATAGGGAATGATACACGAGAGCGAGCCTTGGTAGTGATAAAAGAATAAGAGTTTGAGAAATTGTATGAAGAACTGTGATAAAGAATTGAAATTACTGTCGGGGCGGAGCAAATGCATAACATCGAACACGATCCCTTCAGTGACGTCGTAGTCTATCGGAGCAATGTGACTTGAGTCTTGATCACTTAGAGAAATCAGCGTGACCACTACTTCCCGTTGGGGAGCTTCTGGAACATTGTATGGCTACCTCGGGATGTTGTGAATGGAGGGGACCTGCCTAGGTGGTGAATCACGGTGATCTGGGCATAACCACCGGCAGCTCTTGCATCTAACGTATCACGACCACTCCTTGATCATTGAATCACTGGTACCAGGGCGTTTTCTTCCCTTGTTCATCAAAAGCCACCCTCATCTTGTCCAGTTCAAATTCACACAAAGTCACCGGTGGCCAGACGTCTCTCGCCTGCACTCAACAACAATCGAACACGCACACGCGCACGCGCACACGCATCGTCAACTTCATCGCACAAAAGCTACCACGAACAATCTCACCTACCAAAATGTCTGACGCTGCCAAAATGACCGACTTTACCAAAGACTCCGACCCTACCAAGTCAATGACCGTCCACTTCAAGCTGAAGAAGGGCAAGAACAAGCCCAAGAAGATCCTCCTGGAGGAGCTGCAAGAGCACTACGGAATGGAACAAGTTCAGTGCCATCACGACACCGAATCGAAGAGCCTCGCCATCATCGTCAAGAAGAACTGCGACACGGCCGAGATCATGAAGGAAGAGCTCTGGTCCAAGCTCAAGGAGACTGATGTCTTCAAGACTTGGGAGGGGGACAGAATCATCGTTGTGCACGTGGACAACCACTGCTCGTACCTCTTGGGGGACCCCTATCCAAACCAGTAGGCGCAGCAAATTTGCACCTCTGCATCATCGGTGTGCGGGAAGGATGAATGTTTTGGGACACGGAGGTGACGACGGAAAAGGAAGAAGTGTTACCCAAAGAACCAAAGGCGAAACAACGGGTTAGGAGCTTGTCGATCATCAATAGGAAAATCCTCCTTTTATCTTAACCTCAGAATTCCCTTAACTTGTGATTCATCCCTCATGTGATACTGAATTGCATGTGCATCGCCGCTCGTCGAGCAAATGGGTGGTTTCGACCCAAAGGTCTTGCGGATGCCGTAACATAATTGTCCTTACCCAAATCATTCATCCCGACGTGAATGAGCTACCATGGAAAGAGCACTGGAATCCATCTACCGAAATGAACGCGCCATGCTGGGATGTTTTCCTTCAAAGCTCACAGTGGGATCAGCAAGGGACACACGCACATCCCATCATATCAATAACTACACTGTCCTAAAACCTCATTGCTTCCTCAATCATTCCATATCATCATAATTCTCCCTCAACATGGGTCAACCAAAGTACCGCCAGATGATTGCACAGTTCAAACCGAAAGCTGGAGTGACGCCACAACGAGAACCAAAAGATGACCCCCTTGTATACAGATATGGCTCTCAAGGCCGTCAAGAGGTCAATATTACCAAAGGGTTGCTCACATACGTACTGGATATCGATTTCAGCACCGCAGAAAAGGCTGTGGGGAAGCTATGGAAAGTTCTTGACAAGATGCATGTTTTTGACGAGTGGGAGGCACATGCGGTTTTCGCCGTCAGACGAAAAGACCACGGTAGATGTGACTATTTTCTCATTCCTGGGCCACCGGAAAAAAGAACCTTGTAGCAGCCTATTCTCGAAGAGACTGAGGAGCGCTTGAACGAATTGTCAAATTACAGATACACCACTCTTGAGCTCTTCTACGGATACAAGACGAGGATTTCATTTGAAACGGGCACCTTTGAAGAGAAAGACACGGGTCCTACGAGCGGATTGTCGATAGCTTGACAAAGAATGTCTACTCAGATCACCTGGTTGTTTGGACTGTAACACAGGTAGTACAGCAGTATTGGTGATTAAATTGCTCCCACAAGACTCTCTCGCCTTTTCAATACCACTTTATAAGTGACCGAACTGATTGATTGTTTGGACAATCGGTTTCTTGAGTGTGACGTGAAATACACATTCTTTCTACAGTCAGTGACCCCCAGAATAATGTGATGAGCGTAGAGTCCACAGGCTGTGAACAGTACCTGATGTGATTAATGAATTTGCTCCTTCTCAAATCCTTTATCACGAGCCAATCTAGAAAGGAATCGGCTTTTCACAGTCGCATGCGCCTGGGTATATAAAAGGCCATGCTCATCTCAGGTCTTCCGCTCAGTCTCTGCAAAAACAATACTCAAACTCAACTACGCCTGAATATATAACATACAAGATGAACCGTATGGGCCACCACGTTTACGACAACGACCTTGTAATCATCTTCTGGTTCCATGCAAGGCAGCCTATAAACTCGTCGCAACGACGTCTTGCTCGCCGCGATCGCGTATTCGCCCCCATCCGAGAGCATTACGGCAGCTCTCTCCTGCCCATCACTTGGAGAGGATCAGATATCTACATCACGATAACCGACTGTGTAGCTGTTCGTGCAACACTACCGGAACTAATGTCCATCTTGGAGCGGATCCGCGTTTTCCAGTACTTTGAACTCTGTGGGATCATAGTTTTCGATCATGATAACGGGGAGTTAACTGAGAATATTCGGTACGATAGGGATGGGGTTGCGCGGCTTATTCGTCTTCATAATGAATTGCGCATGTACTGGGGGGTAAACCCTTTCGACTACATGATAACCGACTAAGCAGCAGGAACTAGATTTCTATGACAACATCACTTAATCCATACTTGAGTCGACTTTCATGAGTTAACTTGACTTACTTCATCAAATTTGCTTATATAGAGCCAAGTTAATCTTTTCAGACGCTCTCCGAAAACTCGCCGCCTCCTGATGTTCCCGCGTCACAAGCCGTTCTCCCTACTAAAGCTCCCTGTCAACAGTCACGTAGATGCAGCAAAATGTTTTGCAAAGAATGATCAAACACATGACAGTATACATAGTGTTAATTATGCGAAAAACTTCCGTTATCTATATACGAGAACGAAGACAGAGGGCTAGTGTCGTGAGGACGGTAATCCGCACTATCTAGAAGAGATGGCATAGCTAAGAGGAGTTTCTGATAATAGCCTCGATGACCTCGGGGTAAGTGTCATACTGCACATCACCTGCGCTGCGTGGCACTGGAGTCCGCTTGCGACTAATGCTGAGGTTGAAACTATGGTTCTTAGCCATGTGCCTGGGATCAAGGACCTCGCCAACGACCTGTTGATTGGAAAAGGAAGTCAGTTACTCAGACTCTCAACTTATTTACAGAGCAAGTTGCACTTACAGTCTGGACTCGCCACTTCAAATTCTTAATGAGGAATTGTTTCACGTCGTTTTCCTCCATACTGCTCAGCTTTCCAATCTGGACGTAGTCGAGGAGCATCGAAGTGATAGGAGTTGTACTGGTCACAAGCTGTCCTTGATTATCCTGGCGGGCGCAGTTCTCGCATACATCGGTCGGTGCGGCTAAGATATGTGATATACCTACAAAGCCAGGGAGTGATGACCAATCCTCACCGGTCTGTCCTTCAACGTCGCCGATGATGTAAAAGATGGTGTAAGACCCATTAGCAAACATTCTGAGAAGGTTAGCAAACGTCATAACATTGCAAAGGTGCAACCCTACCTCTCGACCACGATATCAATGTACCAATCATCTTCGTGCTGTGCGTTAGATGCCATTGCCGCCATGGCGGTTTCCTGTTGCATTTCATGTACTGGGAGACCAGGAGTCGTTACGAGATCTCCAGGTGATGTAACGGCTTCCCAATTAAATACTTGGGCGCTTCCAACTTGTATAGGTCGCATATTGTCCGGGGGTGTGCCTAAAACCCGCCTTGCAGTGGTTCGTCGAGCCCATTCATACTTCTTCCGGAAGTCTTCACGAACTGTGTCCCCTGTCTGTCCATCCGCCAATTCCGGATATGCGTAGCCAAAATCCGCGGTCTGCCTGGCTAGGTGGGAGTTCCAGTACTGCTTCTCCTTGTCCTCAGGGAACGATTTGCGGAACGGCGTCAGGTCCGCATCGCCCAGTGGCTGATCCTCTGGCTCAAGCTCATTGAACCAGTGCTCCTTGCCGTTAGCGGCCTGCCAGATGGCGAAAAGTCTGTCAATTTGGCTTGACTCTATTGTCAGCTACTGCAACGAATGCAACGTTCTCTGCTAGACCTACCAATGGTGCATCCAGAAGATCGGGTCAAACGCCGCCGTTGAAATGAAACTCATATGTCCGCTGCGGAAGCCTCCGATGTAGCCATGATATTTACCGTGAAAATCCTCGATCGATCCGGAAGCATTTTCGAGCGTTGATTCGGGTTGCTGCTTGGCCTTCGGAAGGACCGCGTTGGTTGAGAAGGTTCTGAAATTTCTGTAAACCTCGTCTTCGATCAAAGAGAGGCAGAGACGAATCTCGTCCTCACGGATTGAATTCAGCTTATCGTTCATGCTTTGCGTAGCTTTTTCATCAGAACCCCCGTGCCGGATTGTTTTTTTAACGTTCGCCTGTGCAAGGTATATGAGTAACAGGCGATTCCTTCTAGGATAGTGATACTCACGAGTTGAGTCGGAAACCTCACGCTGGGGATGATCTTGTTGAATTGTTCACTATTGAAGTTGAACTGGAAGAAGGGGTTGGGCATCGAAATAAGCTCGTTATCTGGAAGACGCTTGACCATGACCTGGGGCATTGTGAAGATTTGCGGAGCACCCCAGTCAAAAGGAGCGGTTGTAGTGCCATCTTTGGGGTTTGTGACTCCTGGGAAGGTAGTCTTGGCTTTATCTCGGGGACGGTAGTAGTCCCAATAAGGGATGCGAAACTTCTGCGCAGCATCGAGATACTTCTTCTTCTGTTCTTCTGGGATGTCCGACTCAGAGAATCGTTTGGCGACGTTGGCTACTTGACGAAACAGGGTTTGCTATCCAGGGCGATCAGTGTGAATAGAGATTTTGCATACATTTTGACCTACCTCCATCATTGCCAAGTACGGGCGGTGCCAGGTTCCAAAGTTCGGCAGAGAATGGGTACAATAGTATCCCTGATCCCCCTCACCATCCCAAGGACTCATAGGTAGTCCATGAATGCCTAAGAAGGGTCAGCTATGCAGGTTATACACTGGACTAGACAGGGTACCAACCAGTGAGTTGGAACCAGGACATTTTCAAGTCCATCGACTTCCCATCTTCGAATGAATAGTCTTCAGGGGTAGGCCAAGGCAGGTTCTTAATGCCTTGGAGTTCCATCAAGGCGATAAGGTAGAGATTGAACGTATCGGGCTGCTCGGTCAACATGACGTCGATGTCAACACGTTGTGCTACACCAAAGCCAGCAAGGCCGAGTACAACACCCGCCTTATGGGCTTTCTCCAGCTGATCCATGTTCGAGCTGCTCATGGCGGCTATGATTTGTAGGTAGAGGTTCTTGGGCTTGTTGGTGACTTCTTGTTGTGGTTTGGAAAGTCCTTACACCCAGCAGGAGACAGAAGAGCTCTTTTATAGATGTTTCCTGACCATGCCAAGTGTTTTGGACAGGTCGGGGTTCAGGTACTCGTATAGAACGGCTTGACATCTGAGGTCTTGTGCAAACTTGCCTCGGCTTCTCACCATTCCTCTCATGCCGGCTTGTCGTAAAGCACATACAATCAATCCTCTTGGATCTTTTCCGCGTCCATAGCCTTCCTGTGGACCCACTTAGGTTATGCAATGTGCTGTTTCTGGCATTAGGTGAGAGTCTAGAGCCCAGAAGGCGTCTGCCAATGCCAGCTGAGCCTTGAACCCCGGTCATTTTCTTTGGTTTGCCAGCAAATCTGGAGACTCTCTACTGGGCTCAAGGAAAGTCTTGTCACAGTTTTCAGCTAAGCGCCACCCCCGCTTTCCTGCGCTTCGGCTGGTTGATTCAACACCGCCCTTGTGGCTATGTGATAGTTGGCCAACACACGCCTTGGAACGTGATAAATCGTGTTTCAGCGCTAGCCAATAGTCTAGCACAGTCCTCGCCTATACGATGTGATCACAGCCCGCCGCTGTCTCGGCAATATATCAAGTAAGCATAGGCGGCTGTAGATAGTGAGAATGCCAAAGGCCCCGATGCTATGCCTAGAGCATCCTCACATTGGTGGAAACAAGTACTATGCCCATATGCAACTAGACAGTTTATTACTGTGGCTGGCTGAGGGAACAAAGCTAGAACACCTGCAAGCGAAAGGCAGGTTTGAGCAGTGACAAACTTCTAATCAGAATTTTATAACGAATAAGAGCTTATTTCTTGGTTGTAACAAAATTGAATGGGGTTGAACAATAGCATGGAACCATTCAGCTTTCACAGGTGCAGTCATATTGCTTAGTAAGATGTGTAAGAGGGCTGGTTAAATCCACCAGATGAACCCAGAAGTCTAACTCAACGATGCGAACCTTGTGTCAGGTCATGGTTGCATTGTCACTTGACGGAGAAGATGTCCCGGAATATGTGATAGCGCATGCATATGTTCCGGATTATGAAGTAGGACCCTATTGAGGCTGGTTGAAATGCTGGGAGATAATGCAGAGGCCTTAACTTCGTGATGTTGTTTTGAGATAGGCTAGTGAATTGATGATGCACGTTCGGGGGCGGTGAGGAACTATTAAGTTTGTATGAATGTGATCACTCTGCTGTCACACTCTTTGACGAATTAGAAGACTGTATCACATAACCGATGGCCTTGGCAGTCATACTGGCGGCGTTAATTGACCTATCGACATTGGTATTGATATCTTGCATCAATAGTTCAACGGAGCGTTCACCTAAACTGAGTCTAAATCCCAAGTCTAGACTGGGCTGCGAGCGGGGTATCGCCAATGTTTCAGTTGCGGACCGCCAAAGGAATACTAATTAGTGGGCCGAGCCTAGCCTCCGGGGGAACTCAGCTGCTCTAAATCAAGCCACAAACGGCCAATTTTGCTAATCGTGGACAGTGAAGGATGCAAATGAGCTAAAATAAGACATTATGCACACGCTGGAGGTCTAAAATGGAATGTCCGTATGCGCCGGTCGTATGTGATGCAGCCTGAACGTCGTGCGTGGCATGACAATGCCAGAGGTCAAGTGTCTGTCTGACAAGGTGGTCAATGGTCATAGACAGAGACAATTCCTGGTACACTCGAAAAACATTCATCAATGTCTAAACTGAGGTTCCCTCCGGCTTATGTGCCACCTTTTCACATCTGCAGCGGCTAGAGTAACCATGGCAGACCCGACAGGATTCTGGGATCCATTGTTGAAACAAATGGCTGTATATTATCCTGTTGACATAGTTTGGGACGTCTCTACTATGTATACGCTTACTATGTTGGATGTGAAAATAGATGCAGTCCAATATCATAATGAAAAGCTGTTCGCTAATATTGTTATAACTCAAAATCATCATGAAACATCGTCACAATCGCTTACATCGACTTTACACTAATTTTACATAACAAACGCCCCTCGTCTTTTGACGCCTCACCCAGCGGGAGGACCCTATATCCCTCCCTAAGATTCTCTACCTTGGCAGCGCCCGAAATGATCGGCATAGAACGTCCGCTGGACATGGTCTTGACTGACCAGTACAGGAATGTGAGATCAGGATAATTCGTCTCCACCGACATCTCCAGGTTCTCATCAAAAGCTACATCTGAGTCCTGCAAAAGCACAGGTGCTGTCCGTGCTTTCTTGCTCGTTGTATCGGGTGTCAACAGCTTCATCTTGACATGGACCGGGCCGTTCCCTGCTGATATCTTCAAGCCCTGCGCCATAAGAACATCAACTTCGAGCTGTATCTGTGCTGGTTGCGGCGAAGCTTTCAGCACATATCCTAAGCTTCCATGGAACATTGCCTGATTCAGGCTCATGTAGAAATCATCGGTCTGGCAGTTCAGAGCGGCCATCTGAACCCCATGTCTCCAACATTGAAGGGGATCGAAGTTGGATGAGTCGACCCTGTTCGGATCTGGATACACGCGAACGAGATGCTGTGTTCCTGCTAATTGCAGCGAACAGTTGTCTTTGGTGTGTTTCTTGAAGTTTCGCTCAGAGACAGAGTAGATGAAGTTCCTATGCGTGTCGAACTCTGCGTCTTTAGGTAGCCGTCTGCTCGCTCCATATACTGCAAGACTCTGTAGCGAGTCGCCTGGCAGATCTTGGTCGTCGTCTTTCTCGATATCTTCCCCAGGCTCGTCCAGGTTCAGGTATTCAGGTGGAAGTGGCTCCTGAAGTGGCTCTGGATCTCGAGCTACCTTGACCTTCAGGAGAATCTTTCCGCGAAGCTGATTAGGAGATGGCAGTTCTTGTGATGATGCATCAAGTGGTTCCACTAACAGGCTGTACCTGAATATCTCCAACATGGTACGTGCCATGATATCCCTCTGCGCTGGGTTACAGTGAACTTCCAGCGATAGCCACAAGGGCAAATCAGAAGCAGAGAAGGCATAATTGTAGATGGTCTCTATGACAGACCGAAAGCTGATAGACGTTGTCAAACTGTATCCGTGCTTGACAATCGGCTGCCCGTCTCGCCCATCCCAGCAATCCACCTCCACAGATCGACAACCTTGTGAAAGCGTTGAGATGTAGCCTTTAAGCTTGGAGCGGGCGGCGACTTGGCGGCCGCGCAGGTACGTGTTATGAGAAGAGGAGATGAAGTATTCGTTGATAGGACAGTCGAGATTATGGTGTCGAGGGGCGCTGCGGATAGCTAAATTTTCGTTCGAGAATAGGTGAGAAATTAGGTTTCTAGAGATGTCGGAAATGGGTGCGATTTCCTCCTTGGAGCTGCCCGAACCGATGAGCGTACTGGAAGAGTCGCTGAAAACGGCCGGATTCTTCTCAATTTCGGCTCTCCCATCTCTCCCTTTCAAGTCTTCCAAAAACTTTGTTAGTGCTTTTTGAGATGTTGGACCAATCAGTAGATTGTTTGTTTCGCGCTTTAGGATCATCTCCAACAGGAGCTGATTGAAGTCGGATGACGCTCGAGTATGACTGTTTGGATCGCGAGTCTTGACTGACTCCGACTTCTGAAGCCCTTCAATATCTGTTTGAGCGCGCTGGATAGGTCTAGGGACTTCTCGAACAGGTACACTTCTTTCGGCGTCCGACATCGTTACGGCTCTGCCGTACATGATAAGATGCGCCATGTCGAGAACCGCAGGTAGAAGAAAGATGCATGTAAGGACAGCAACATGCCCGCAAAGAATGATATAGGCGACAAGCATCCTGCCTGAATGACTAGCGAGTCCGGGTACAAAGCCAATGTGAAGTGCGAACAAGGCCAGCCTCGAGACAGACAAAATGCCGGCAAGTGAAATGAAGCATGCAAATCTTGTCCAAAACGTCATTGCTAGCAGTTGAACAAGCTCACATCCCAACAGAACACCAAGCTGAACAGAAGTGTATGTCTGCAATCCGCCAATGACACTTCCTCGTAAAAACATCAAGGAGAACAACACCAAAGCGTAGTATTGTCGCCCGGATTCTGGGTCTTTGTTCAGCCGGCCTGGGCTTTGGATGACCAGCGATCCCATCTCGGAGTCCCTTGTCCAACTCCACCAGAAGCCTGCTAATAACACAATCAAGATTAGGATTGCCATAGCGGAGTTTCGATATCCAAAGATCTGGTCGTCGAGGAATTGGTAGGTTGCCCATGCACTGATCGGTAGCATGAAACAGCTGAGGAAAAGCCGGACAACAGCCCAGTACCTATCCCTGAGCTGCGCTCCAATAGTTTTCCAGGTAAAGTTTGAGGGGGAGTCGCGAGTACTCAGCCTGAAGTTAATGTATGATGATAAGTAGAGAAAGAAAAAGATAATGAGTGATAGGGCGAAAGTATTCATCCAACTCTGAGGTTTCACTGGTGAGCCCGTCATCTGGGTAAGTAGTTCCAAACCTGGCGCTCCCGTGATGGTTCCATTGTGTTCATAAATGCCGTCGTTCACGCCGGCTCGTGCATAAGGTGAGGAGGCTTCTACAGGACCCGCCGGAAGCATCAGGGTAGACCAGCTACAGAGGCCGACAAGAGGTTGGAAGAAGCCAGGGTATTGAAGGCTGAGGGCGCCTGAGAAGAAGATAAACTGAATATAAGCTAAGAGATTGATAGCGCGTGTGATACGGCCATTCTTCGAGGTTAAGGAGCTTGTGGTTTGTTGGGCCGGCCAACATGCAATGATACAGGTAAAGGCAAAGGTGCTGATGGGGAGCCAGAGACTGAGAAGGCGGATGGGCTCCCGGACAGCGGGAGTGAGGGTCGCTCGAATACAGGAGAGTGATTCGTTGTCTTTTGAAGCAATCTCAAAGGTTGTTCGGAAAGTATCGAGAAAAGCCGATCGTTTAAAGGAGGATGCGATGGTGAAATGAGCTCTCGGGCCGAGCCATTCGGAAGCGTAGCAAGACATGTTGACGATCTCTCCTGAGATTTGTTTAGGGTCTCCTCCATAGTCAATGACCGTAAATCTTGGCCTGACATCTCCGATATCAATCTCGCAGGCATTCCGATCCGCCTGCCCAGCGATAACATCAAACCGCCACTGAAACCCATCCCTCCCCTGCTCAACCGCCGCGCGAAAACTCTCCGGAATGAGCGAGTTATTCGTAATCATATCAGCGCAGTCTTGAAACTGCACATAAGCAGCCTGACAGCTTGCTGCCAAGAGCGTGAAAGGAGTGACTCTTGACAGCTTCATTGCTATCTCGATTCGGCCATGGCGGGATGTGAGAGATCAAATTGGGCTGCAGGTGGATCTTTTCCTGCATACTGGCTTTTCTCCCTCTTTTCTTTTCTGGAGGGAGAACACTAATGACTAATCTCGTGGGGACTATTAATAGCTGAAACGGCCAAGAAGTGCCTAGTGGTGTTTATTTTAGGGCGGGCATACGAGATGGTCCACTTCGGAACATGCCATTGTTGTCTTGACCGATGTTTGGATGGTAATGTAGCCTTAGAAATGTCTAAATTCGCATCTTGGATTCCGGCAACAGAGTTTTCCTCGGCATGGAGCTCTTTGTTGGTCGTCTATCGAGTCTATTTCGATGGCTAAGAACCTCATAGCCGAAGATGTCAAGGGTATCCTTGCAGAGGTCGAACCAAGCTATGCCAAAATCGCTTTAGTGCTTCTGTCATTAGTAGTGGCATGATGTCATTTATTACCCTGGAGAAGACGAAATTCAACACTGTTCCCTTTTCTGCGAGGGAAGTTGGATGGTCGGGATTGGGTGCCGATGTCCCTTTGACAGTCTTGTAGAATTATTTCATATCGACCGATCCTCAATTTGGCCAATCCTTATTTCAGTGTAATTGGTTACCTGTCTGATGAGTTCTTCAACCCATCCCGTCATTGTCTTTTGAATCCTTCGTTTTATATAAATCACATCTTCCATTCATCATTCGTAACCACCAGAACTTAGTATTTAGACTGCCATTTACGAAGTGAGGGTCCGACAGTTGAATTTCGGGCCAATTGCCCGCATCAAACGATCTCAGCGACCTTTACTCTAAGCTCGGCTGGCTGCTAAAGGCTAATAGCTGGGCCTAACTGTTAGCTAAGTTACGTGGCACTGTAGGATATCCCGAAGTGTTTGAACGTTGGTTGGTGATGCTGGTAGTCCTAATGTCACCTTGAACACTTATTTTGCGCCTCAATGTGATATAAAAGCCTCGAAAATCTTCAACATACTTACCCATTCATTATCTTCTTTTTAAATTCGATGGTTTCGAGACTGAAGTTCGTCACCAATAGTCTATCACTCAGCCACTTGCCTTCAGGTAAGCATCTATTTTCTGATGATATGGGAAGTACCCTGGTAATGGTACCTTAAATATTTATAACCATAATGCACGATATTCAGATCTTCCAGCGCACGCATGGCCGGTCTCACCCGACATTAGTAGCTACTTCTACTTTCTACTGGCTATAACAATATAATTGAGAACGATGGGCAACCGCTGCATGGATTGCAGTGACTTGAAGGATCTTTTAGTTGGATTATATACCAGGCAGAATATTTTAAAGGCTAGATCCACGACCTCAAACGCTTACAACTTTGCTCGAAGCCAGAACATGAGGCTATCATACTCATCAGAATTCATCCTAGCTTTTCAGCCAAAAGCAAGATCCTAGGCAACAGTGAGGGTGACGAGTATTTTGCCTGTATGTGTTTTTTTGGTGTTCTTTACCTTTGTGGCCTTGAGGCTGAAGCCTCTTTTTGACCCCTCAACCCTATCACAGAATTCATCACAGCAATAATCTACGGATCTCGTGCTCGTGTATCATGTTGTTGTCTTATCATAAACCCAAGTGATTCCTGATCAGACAATGGAGGTTTCATGCAGTCAGCTTACATAGGTTGTTAAATCCTTGGATAGAGATATGGCTGTCCTCATTCAGATGTATGCGGACCATCATTGATCCGAGTGTAATGAGTGAAACTGCCCTTTCAATTGTTACGAGAAGATATGTCTTACTAGATCGTGTAGACAATGCTTTAATGCTAGATCAAATCACAGATTCGTTAGTGGGCTTGAACTCGACCGATAACGAATAACTTCAGCATTGGCTCTTTTGACGGAACTAGGCAGTTGCAGCATGCATGGATAATACCCGGAAGGCCTTAATTCATGTTAGTGCAAATGACATCGCCTATGAAGTCCTTCAATCTGTTCTGTGCTATCCTGTCTGATAATCTGCTCTAGTCGGACGCGATTCTCGTTTGAGTCTCATCGTAACAGCGTATCTCTTTTAGTCAATAGTTTATGCTTGATCAGCACTACTTGTGGCATGTTTGAGCCTATGGGAGAACGGATAGTGCTTAGAAAGCAGGCTTTTTGATAAGCGCTTGCTTACGCATCGTTTGTGATGGTTGGTGATTTGATGATGGCATCGGATCTGGTGCGGGGCTGTTGACTACGCCGCTGATGTCGTCAACCATGAAGATATAAAGAAACACAAGAGCTCCAGAGATAATTTGCCGAACTCTTTCCCATTGACCCTAAAGCATCCTGTGCGCTTTTCAATCACGAAGAATACTCGAAATGGACACTTATCTTGACCCAATCAACCGCAAGTTTGCGGATGCGGCCGCTGAAGGCCCACCACTTTACACTAAGACTTATCAGGAAGCGCGCGACATTTTGGAAGGCATCCAGAGCTACAAGACTGCATCGGACATTAAGACTGAGGAGGTCAAAGTTCCAGTCAATGGTGAAGATGTTACTACTGTCATCTTCCGTCCTGCCAATGCACAGGGCACGCTGAACATGATCTTTTATACGCACGGCGGTGGATGGATTCTCGGAAGGTCGGTTACCCACCAGCGATTGGCGAAGACGTGCTGACGGGTGCAGTCCCGCGGTGCATGGGGCTTTGATGGAGGACTTTGCACGCCAAACTGGTGCCGCGGTCGTCTTTCCCTACTACACCCCAGCTCCCGAAGCTCAGTACCCCGTTCAGTTTGAGCAGGTGTACGGAGTACTTGACCATTTCGTAAACAACGGTGATAAGTATAACCTCAAAGTTGACCGCTTTGGTCTCGCCGGTGACAGTGTTGGAGGTGAACACACTCATCTCTATCCTTTAAAGGGCTATCTGACTCGTTCCCAGGACATATGGCCATCGCAATGACTCAACTCGCTGAAAGCCGTAACCTACCTTCCAAGATCGGCCAGGTCGTCTTGCTATATCCCGTCACAGACACCCACAGCAAGTCTGAGACCTACAAGACATACAAAGACGGACCCTATCTCTCCGAAAAGACCATGGACTGGATGATTCCCGCATTTCTCCCAAATGAAGACGACAGAAAGCTGCCATTGACCTCGCCCCTTCAGTTTGCCCCGGACGAGGTTCTTGCCAAGTTTCCACCGACAACTATCTTCGTTTCCGGTGCAGATCCGCTAATCGGGGAGGGCGAAGCGTTTGGCCATCGTCTGCAGCAGCTCGGAGTTGATGCCGCAGTTATTAAGGCGGATGGACAGGTTCATGATTTTGCGATGTTGGCACCTATTCGCGTTTCTCCTACAGCCCGAGCTGTGGTTGAGCTTGCGTCTTCAAAGTTGCTCAAAGCATTCTCAAAGAACTGATAGTTCCAGAGATTTCCCTAACGTAGTTTCATAGAGACATATTGTCGTTGGAAAAGAGCTGTTGTACCAGATGGATCTCGATATAATGAACTCAATTGATTGACGAAGTGATATGAGGATATGCCATCACCATTTTGACCACTAGGAAACTTCTCAAGCATTCAATCGCTAATTACGCCCGATTCACACCCAACCAGGGTGACGCAGAGCGTGTCGGAACTCTAGTTAATCCGTGCTTTTCGTAGTACAACTCCTTCTCCGCATCTCTGCTCCGTATCAAAACCTTATACGCGAATCAATATAAATCATTTACTCCTTGTTGAAGGATGGGAATGTCATCCACGGCAATTTTTATCAGGAGTCGAGTTGACGTTCTTATGAAGACTGATCACTCGGTTCTCTACATTGACAAAGCTGAGCCAGGTATTGTTTTAAAAGCTGAAACAATATGGATAGATGGTACACCCTACGGTCCGCCATTGATGGCAGAAGAAACCGGTCATGAACTCACTCGTGAGCACGACATTTATAAAGCTATATCCCCCTATCCTTACATAACGAAATGCTTTGGTATTTCTCATAATGATAACGGCCTTGCTATTGCACTCAAGCTGGAGCGAGCGACTAAGGGCAATCTCCGTCACATCATCGAGGAAACTGCAGAACCGCCTTCAATGCATCGCCGAATTGAAATGGCTACCATTCTTGCCGAGAGTATTACGTACCTGCATTCCAGAGGAATTATATGGGGAGACATCTCTACCAGAAACGTCCTCGTTTTCAGTGACGATACCCTGAAGATATGCGACTTCACCAGTTCTGATCTCGGCCAGGCTTACCCCGAGTTCGGTCCCCATACATACGAGCTTGAATACTGCCCAGCTCTACCAGAGGAACAAGTCAGTGAGCTTTCCATTATGGAACGAGAGCTGTATGCTCTTGGATCTGTGATCTACGAGATTACGGAATGGAAATTCCCATATGCAGGCATCGATGGCGATATTTGGGACATTGTCGAAGCAGGTATTATACCTGTCATTGGGATTGAGAATACTGCTGGAGGAATAATCTATCGATGCTGGAAGTTTGGATATGATTCTGCGAGTGCTGTACTGGGTGATCTAACAGCCCTTGTGAAGCAGGTGCCAAAGAAATGATTGGAATCATATGGCAATAGGGCTGAAACTGAAGAGTTTGGTATTCATTATCTCTAACATTGCTGTGGAAATTCGCATGAGAATTTCAGATTTGGTTGGTTTTGAACACGTTTGGCAGAGAAAGACATTGTAAACTTTTCTGACAGGTTAAGTTTGGCGACCGTTCCTAACCCAGCGGGTTTTTGAATGCTATCCTTCGTTATATTGTATTTACTTTGACGGGATTGCAATACAACCTCTGAATTCAACGTAGGCATCCTGATACCGCCGAGTTGCTTCCGCAATATACAAAGACAGGGTATCCAACATTTTCTGCAACAGGAAGGCCATAATGTTAGATATATGTGAGGGTCAATTTGAGTTGCCCCATTTTATTCTTATCTTGGTGTTTGAACCACAGTTACATTCTATACTAGGCTATCATACACGTAATCCTAGTATAGCCCATTCCTCATTCAAAGCCACTCTGTCACTCTCTTGTCCTCTCAGTATTTCTCATCTCACTTGCGGTTCGAGCAGTAACGACTCTTGCTGCAGTTGGTGCATTCCTGCATCCGGCCACTGCCATTGTGCCAATGAGTGACAAACTTGTCTCCGCTTGTCTCGAACACAAAGTTGTCGGTAGGGTCGAAATAGGCGTTCATCTTGATGTCCTCCAAGGCATCATACGCCTCATTTCGTGTAGAGTCATAGTACTTGTCCTTCATGTAAATCTCAACGTTCATAGTCGAGCCGCTGATGGATGCAGACTTGAAGCGATCGCCGAACTTGTCCTCGACAGGCTTGAACGATGGTCGGTCGTATGTCACGCCGGACTTCTGTTCGAAGCGGCACAAAAGATAGTGAGAGTAGGACATTTTGATAGAAGAAGTTTCTTAGGTAAGTTTGGGTATATTTAGTTGAGTAATTGGTATTGAGTTGAGATCGAGTTGTTTATGTTTGAAAAGTTGGAAAGGAGAAAGCCTTGAGTATGGTGGCTTTTATAGTCAAACGGGTTGGGTGATTCAGTGACTACACCCAAATGACAGGCAGTTACTTTGATGTCGCACTGGGCGATTGAATCTTCTGGATGGACAATCTATAGCCCAAAAATAGTGAATCAGCGATAAAGAATGGCAGTGGTTGACTGTCTAGGAAGCATCATGAGTATTGCGGGTATCTTCAAGCTCCAGTGAATATTTCGAGGTCTACAGATGCTAATCACGGCTCAACATCTGTGTGATGCTATCTATACACGTCCTTCACTACCAGTATTGATCCTCCGCCTCTTAAACACAGGCTCACCATCCGTTCTCACATTACCGCCGCCAAGGTCATTGTTCGCCGCCACCGCACTGAGCAAAAGCTTAGTGTATGCTGCGGCCACAGCAGCAGCATAGTTCTGCCAGATCTTGTTCTTTTGGGCATCACTGTAGTCACATATCCCTCGTATCACAAGGCAATCTGCCCTGTTCATTACCCCAGCAGCTTCCATCTCGAAACATAGCACCCCATACTTGCGAGATAGCCGATCTCGCAGGGTTGCGTCTTTGACCACGCGATTTCCTGATGCTACAAGGCCATAGTGAATCATAGGCTCTGCCGTTAATCGTGGGAGGCGTTGCTCAAGATGGGTACAGTCAGGTTTGCACGTCCTGCGAGTACAAGCGGCGTGGGAGAGCACGTCGAGTTCTTGACCTGGGTTACCATATGCTGGGAGTGAGTCGACTATGCTAGTAAGATGTGGGTTCAGTGCATCGAGTTCAATGTCTGGATCCGACCGGATCTTGCTGGTAGCATTGGCCAGGGTCCGAGGCGGTCGTTGCAAAACGTCTGTCACCTCAAACTCACACCCATCATTCTCCTTACCGAGATCATACTGAATGACACCTGGGAAAGTCTGGGTAGGCAAGCCTACTATCACATCGCCGAGTCGAATACCATTGTCCTCAGAGGGCGCGCCACCGGCAATGCCAACAAGTAGACAGAACTGTATAGACGTGAAGCTGCGCATCATATCAGACACTGCTGATGCGGCTGCGTTTGTTCCGTATTCTCCAGGTGGAAGTGATGTTGCTACTACCATATTTCGAGCCATTTCCCCAAGTGCATACTGATTGTTATCGCCGATTGCTCTCGGGGGATACTGGTGTCTCTGGTTAAACAGAGCTGGTACTGCCTTCAGCTCGACCGCTAACGCGCAAAGGATTCCAAAAGTGTATTCGCTTCGGGAACAGATATTTCTTACGCTCGGCGACGCTGTGTTTGACTTCCTCAGTGACAATGGTGAACGTGATATACTCGAGCTCGGTATTGGCGAGGCATGACTCTCAGATGAGGATGCCCCTACGCTTTCACCAACTCCACTGTCCTTATCTGTCTTGTCTAACACATAACTCACAACAATCTCTTGTTTTGATTGTCGTTGTGTAGGAGGACCGGTATCACCCCACGTCCAGGAGAAGCCCGGGCTGTGTCCAAAAACAGCTGCACCGCCGAGTTTGATGGGGCCCTTATTCGGACACAATGTGTGAGATAGTGCAGACGGGAATGCCACCGAACCAGTCCATGTGGCATTCCCGTCTGCACTATGTCCTGCATCATCGCCACACTGACATTTCCCTGAGATGTTAACCGCGTTATGCCATATCAGATTATCACTCAGTCGAGCATGGTCGGATTCGGAACTGCGATGGTCTCTAACGACATCCTGTATATCCGAAATGGAGCATGCGATCAGGTATCGGTGTCTCGGTAGTTGATACCAGTAGTCACAAAGGGCTGGTCCGGCTGGTCAAATAAGTTCCCCAAAGCCAATACCTGCTGGGTTACGGCCTGGAGATCCCCTGTCAAGTCAACCCATCCCTTACCAGCAGGCTCAAGAGTGATTAATCGCGGATGTAACGGATCCCGGTTCGCGCTGAGGTCCTCGAAGTCCCAGCCCTCGAGATCCTTTCGAGGCATTCCCTCTAGGCTCCCGGTATGTCGCCTGGTAATATGTCTGATGATCGAGCATCTTCTCGAGTAGGTTGTAGTATTGATCGATTCTGTCTCTCAAACCAATGAAACCATTTCTTTCTGGGTAAAGCTTGAGAGCCAAGCTTTTGGGATTGATGAGTACGTCAATTGCGGAATCGGTAGTGAAGGGCTTCGTTGACTCTTGTAGATCACCTGCTTCGAAGACAAAGGCCGATTGGAGTTTATTAGTGCTGTCATATGCTAATGAGGCTCTATCGACATGTGACAGAGCGCTAGTGCCGTTGGTAAGCCAGCTGCGTTTGTCGGCCTCGTCCCAGAGGAGAACGAATTGCGAGGAAATCCATTTGAGTCGAGGGATATTGCCATTGCAAGCGACATGCACTGGCGTGTCCTTGATACCGAATTCGAAGCTGTGGCCTCCTGTGATCATAGGTCCCAAAGTTATCATGGTGCTAGCAATAGCACATTCGGGGTGTGACTTAGGTAGCTCTGAATGCCTAACATGGTACGGAGATTGCGACGATCCTTGGTTCTTTAGTAACTGGATTCATAAGTACTCTAAGAAAAAGCCTCACCGGAATAGGACCTTGCCTCAGAACACCATCCGAGAACCTGGCGGTGAGCTGTCAGATCTGGGGTCCCAGCAAGGGTGTACCGGTTCAGATTATCGTCGAGATAAGATACGACTTCTATCTTCATTATAGATCGACTGTCAATAAACCACCTCTTTGAACTGTTTTGTGGGCACCAGCATTGTCGAGACGCCCTTCATGTATACCTTGCCGTTACATTAATAAGTTGCAGATTTAAGACATCAGAGATCATTTTCTACAGGCAGGCCATAGCATTAAGCATTTATTAAATAGTCCTAAAGCATTCCCGATCCTAGAGAAACAAATAATAGACATGCCGCCTAGTATCGCTTTCTAAATGTGAAAATAATATTCTGCCTTTAATACTAACTATAACATGTCGAAGGAAGGATTCTTACTGAAAATGTCTATAAAATTACAGCAGATTAAGGGTATTATAGACGTTTTGGCTTGAAGTTCTTGCCGTTCTTTATATCAGTCTTTTAGTACTTAGCGGGCTTGGTAGTTCCCCACATAAGACAGGAAGTGGAGTGTCTGCTATTGGCCTAATGCGTATTAGTGAATCCTTCCAAAACCTCGTATTGCTGCATGTCGAGGCTTGTACTCTTGAGTCCGAGATGTCAAGTCCGAGAAATTAAGTTTAAGGATTTACACCCCTGAGTCCGTGCCACCCAGCCCGTGAATTTACTTTTAAGTTACTCTTTATATGCTTAATTTTCATTTTCCTGCTAATATTTTTGAAGCTATTATAGCAACTAGGGGCACAAGCTGGCAGGGTTTTACGGTAGGTATATTTTATATTTTAATACTTTAGTTTATTATTACCCTAAGACCGGTGCCATAGATAGCCCTTTAGCTTATACCGAGCTTAAGTATTTATAATAGTCCCTTTCCTGCTTAGCTTTGTGTTTCCTAAATCTTCCTGCATTTCGGTCTCTGTGCCCTATACGAGCTGCAGGCTGTCTTACATCTCTATGTACTTGACTTCATTATTAGTCAATATGCCTGCAGGAATTTATTTTCCCTGTCTTTATCTAACCGCAATCATCAACAAACGATGGCACATAGACAAGCACACAGTTATTTAATGCCTCAATACTACGGACATAACATCACTCAGCGTCTAAGCGTTTCTAGTGGCAACTTCTTACCTCCGTTTAGTCCTAAGGCTAGGTGCGAGCGTGGCGCAGCGTGCGAGGATTAGAGAAAACTCTTTCGGCACTTGAGTTTCGGCGCTGTCTAGAACAGCCTGGTGCTGCCGCGCAACTAGAGTGACGGTTTGCAGGGTTATAATACAACTTTCAAAGCATCTACTCGGTCAATCATCCTTCTTGGTTGATGCCTCCCAAGAGTTTGTCAATTTTAGAGTTACTTACTACTTAGAATACGCCCGCATTAATCACTCAGAGCATAGCTTGGCACCAAAAATAATCCTTGCCTACAATCCTTCCGACGGGGACTTACCATGATGGACCTGCCTATTCGGGCCGCTTGCCGATCCGCAGGACCATTGCTCATGCTTACAGTTCTAGACTTGGAGATCATCGACTGGCTAATGCGCATACGAGTCTCGCAGGCGGGCGTCGGATGAATAGGCTGTAAGAGATGCTACGTTGCATAGGTAGATACATTATGTTATGTTCTAGTCGTCGGAAAACATATAAAGCACCTCCCCAGCACACTTCAACATCATCTCCTCGCCATTTACTATTCAAAAGCAATATCTGACCATAGTCGAGAGCGCCCGATTGGTTTATCTTCTATCTCGACTATCAATCCTCAAATCATTCACTATGGTTAAACTCAATCTCGCAACCCTAGTCCTTGCAATTGCTACCGGTGCTCTTGCAATTCCATCATCTCTCTTTGAACGAGATGACACGACTTGCAGAGACGACCTACCTGAAAATACGCTAGCTAACGTATGTATCGAAAGCTCTACCAATATGCTTTAGCGATATGACTGACCTCCAAGTAGGTCCAGGAGGCCGTTGAATGCATCAACTACCTTGCTAGTCTCAACCAGGGTTGTACGGCCGGAGTCTCGGGCGTCTCCTTCTGCAGGCGTGGAAATACCCAGATAACGGGCTTAGCCGTAGGACTCCTCGCACACCAGACAGCTACCTCCTCTTGGTAAGTCTATGTTATCGTTAGGTAATCTATAAAGTGCAATATCTCTAATTCGCCTAATAGTAAGAATGTCGCTCGGGGCGCAGGATTAATTATGGATAGGTGCTCTAGAGGCGATGGGAAGGTGAGAGGTGCAAACCCTGCTTGGGGTAATGGCCACCTCCTAGTTGATATCCGCCGTGTTTAGTGGCGCTGAAATATCAGCGCAGCGAAAATGCTGAAATTTCTCAATATAGTGCTTCCCTTAAATCTAAATACTTAAATATAACCTATTTTAAAATCTTTTATATATTAAAACCATAAAATAATAATTATAATTATAATTATAATAACATAATAAGCTTTATATAAATAAGTATAAGTATTATTATAGTTATTTATAATCTTTATAGCTTAATAGCTTAAAATATAAATACTATAATAGCTATACTACTAATATAAATAAGTAGTTACCTTGGATATTTTTTATTTTATAAATATTATTAAAAAAAGAGATTTACTGTCAGGTCATTAAATACTCTATGCCAGCATTAGCCGTTAGGCTTATCTGGTGGTTCCAAGAGCTGCTCTAGCTCGAAACCGATTACACAGACCACAGCTTGTGGCATTTCCAGATTCCGATTCATGGATCTGATAGAGGGAGTGCAGTAGGCCAGTCCTTTTAGATGTGGCAAACTTCTCAAAGCAGCTCTCAGCCAGGCAAGCTGCTCTCCAGTCTCTAGCTGCGGACCCATTTGCCTGCACCATGACATTCGACCCGTTTATCCAGACCCCTAGTCTTGTATTATCTGGCAAGCGGCCTTGTAACGTGTTAGATAGGGCTATCTAAGAACGGAATGCTAGAGGTGAGACAGTATCTTATACTCATTTGTATGTACCCCTTCCGGTCGCAGTAAGTCGCGTATAAGCCGCAGGATCATGTCACCTGTAGTAGGCCAGGTCTGCTCAAGGAATTGAGCACAGTTTGAAGCTTGTGCATCGGAAGGAGATCCAGTCAGAGTAATCACTGCTGTAAGTACCTCGTCCGAAGTACTCTTGCGAGTCAAAGAACTCAAGAATATCCCAGTCCAGGTTGAATAGCACGCTACAACTCTCAGAGGATACGCTTCTGCTGATCTTCTGAGGGGATGGGACTGAAGATAATACCTGATCTCGGATTAGTTGAATGGCCGTTGGTTCTTCCAGAACAGAATTCATATTCCTTTGGAGCTGGGTCATTAACCAGGAGTAAGCTTCGGTACCGGGGGCGAAGTCTCGATACGCCGCAACCCAGATGTCAGCCTCTTCATATTCATCCTCTTCCTCCGTCTCCAGTAACTCAAGGTTGTCCAGGCCCTCTACAATCAAAGTTTGCTCCCTATCTTCGCTTTGCTCCCAGAGAGCCATAACCTCATTCGGACTCATACCGTGAGGCTGACCTTGGATTTCTCTCAGCTCAACCTCCGCCTGGCTAGGGTAGATGACGTCCATTGGCTCAACCTCAACGGGGGTAGGGCATGCGATCTCCTGAGGCTCCATTTCTCTCTGGCTAAGATATATGTCTAGAAAGGCTTCGGTAATCCCACTGTAAAGAAGTGTTAACCAGGTCGCTCGGACTTCAATTAGAAGTGGTGAGTCCTAGCCCTCTATGGAAGCTTTTCTAATACGTGAGAATAGAAAGAAGGGCTTCTGTAGCCTTTTGCTCACCTTCTGTGCCTATGAACAAAAGCCATCACATCCTGATGCATTTGAGTAGTTGCGCAGTACCCAATCTTCAAAGCGAAAACCTTGAGCAGGCGTGGTAGCGTAGCGGATATACTAACTCGATGATCTTGACCCGAATCAACAGCTTGAAAGCTCATTTTATTGTATAGGTCTTTAGCCAGCTCCTGTATGTACAGCTGCTTTCTGGAGAACGTGGTACTTGAGACATCGGAGTATTCAGTGGCAGAGTCGTCAATGGTAGGGTGATCTAGGCCTTGTAACGACTGATCAACAGCTGGGCCATCATTCGTGTTCTTGTTGATGTGATCCATTAGCGATGCAGACGCATATGCCGAGTCCGTAAAACCTGAAGGCGCAATTGGCGCAGGTGATGTTGGTGATTTGCTTTGCATAGCCTCAGTATCGATATCATTGAAGTCTTCTCGAAAGTCGGCCAGGAGTCGAACTATATCGGAATCCGTTTTGTGCGCACATAGCAACTCTATACTTCTCTTAGCCCGTACAAAGTTCCCCTTTGCAGCTGTGGTCAACGCAGATCTAATTTGAAGCTCCAGAGTAGGGTCTGCGATCGTCAACTCCCCATGGTTCAGAAGTCGAGATGTTTCCGAGTCAATATAAGATGAGACATCGGGGTTGTCAGTCGGAATATCGATAGAGTGAAGGTTGGTCCATCCAATGCCAGTCAGGACTCCTGGTCTTGTTGAGAGACATATTGATAGAGAGCATTGGGTTTGAAGACATTGCAGTACCCCAATCACCTTGGTTCGCTCAGACTCTTGACACTTATTAAGCCCATCAAGGACTAAGTATGTCATGCCGGCTGCTTCTAGAGCAATCCGTAAGTCGGACGCTATATCCACAGTAATATCTAGAATGGTGGACAAGACTCCGAGACCTTTTGATACGTGTGAGGCACGTGATGTGAGCACTAAGCGTTTTAGTACTTGGTGATATATGGCGCCAAGAATAACTAGAGCCTGTAGGGAATTAACTTCATCCTGTAGGTAAAAGAAAAAGACAATTTGAGCGTTTTCAAGCTGTCTCCGATCCACATTATCGACCATATTGGCAAGTATGACTGACTTTCCTGCTCCTGCATTGCCTGAGTAGAGCAGTGTAGAAGAGCTACTACAGTCAATGAAGCGATCGTAGCTAGGCTCAAAGAGAAACAGAGAAGTGCTCCCAATCGTTCTTATACTTTTCCATGTGGCCATGTAGTCATGCTTTAGCTGTATTTTAAGTGTTTGAAGATACTCGACGTGCTTCTCCAAATCTAGCTCTCGTTTGGCAGAATTCGTTGGGTCTCTAGCATAGCTACCATTATACGTGGGGTCACTGGGGCGATGTTGTCGTTTGAGGATCGCAGTCTCTGGTCGATTGAAATTGTGCATCTCTCGAGAGCTAACTTATAACGCTTCAGTGTAGAGTCCGCAGAGAAGGATATCGTTTCTGGATAGCCACGCCTTGGCTGTAAAAGGAACAGGTAGTGGCATATACGGATGACCTTGGAGTAGTAATCATAAAGGCTCCAACGAAGTTCCTCGGGGGGTGAGTTAAGGAAACCTATTCTCACATCAAAGGGTAATGAGCCACAGGACCCCATAAATAATTCCAATTTGGCTTCGATCCAACAAGGTGTCAGAGCAAGTCTCTACATACATGATCAGATCTTTGAGTACATATCCGTAGAAGGGGCATACCGTAAACGTTAGGCGCATAAGCAGCCAGACACTGCCAGTTCGCCATGACAGAAATTTGTCAGGCGTATCTTCTTGAAGTGAAGCGAACTCCTGTACAGCTTTCAAGAAATTGATCATGCGCGATAGATACCGCCGTACATTGCTTGCCTGATTCCGTGCTGCAACCTCATGGATTTCAACGATAGCTGCGATGACGTCAGCGTCCTTAGGAGACGAGAAATTCTCTTTCTGTGCTCTAAATGAACGTTTCTGTTCCTCGGAGACATCTGAAGCAAATTCCGAGACAGCTTGGCCAAGTCCAATCGCTCGGCTCTGTGGATTGAGCCATGATGCGCTGGCCACAATCGCACCTCAATCAATCGCAAAGCAATTATCCTTACTGAGGTTGTCAGGATTGTATCCAAAGTCAGGACTACAGAGTAAGCTATAGCGAGTTAAGTAAAAGGGGGAACGCTGGGTGAGCGATAGGAAGCGGGGCATGACCAGGGTTTTGAAAGTGAGGCTGACGGTACAGGAGGCACTTGTGAATGTGATTCGTCCGATAAGTACAATAGCAAGTTTTGCCCCCCTAAATAATTGCTTTTTAGATTATCCTGAGGTTTTTCAAATTACAGTAATTTAACCAGGCCGTTTTTCCTCTATAAGTTGCTCCTTTTAATAGACATTTTTATTAAATCGAAATTAAGCTAGATAAAACAATACCCTATAAAAGTCTTATAATATTAACTTGTCGGCTTTTGAGTTGCAAGAACTTCAGTACTAGGAATTTGCCACAAGTATTGCACTACCATATGAAGGATCACTCACCTAAAACTTAATTACATCATCACATTGCTTTTTAGGCATGAAGACCAGAAACGTGACTTTTTATTGCATCAGCGGCACGATTGCAGCAGGCCCCCTAAAAAATGAAGATCGTCAAGGAAAAAACATCTTTTCCGACCTTGGCCAAGGTATAAATACATGACATTAGAAATCTGAGAATCATTCTTCAAAAACTTCTGTACTCGTTCAGACAAGATGGCGATTGAGGAAGTACATCCCATGTCTCTCAGGCCAAAACCAACTTCTTGGCTTGAAAGCCTTCCAACCGAGGTTCTACAATCTATTTGCGCCCATTTCTGTCGGCACTGTCGGGGCGACGTTCTTATTACTCTCAAAAATCATCCATGGACCTATGAAACTACCTCAGATGGCAATATCATTGTGGCCAATGCTGAGCCTGCCCAAGATCTTTGTGCTCTGAGCCGCGTGTCACGTCGGCTCCGGGATGTCGCCCAACCAGTCTTGTATCACGAATTCCCTAATTTCGAACATCGTGAGAGGCGCTTAGAGCCATTCCTGATAGCCGTTGCGTCCCGACCCGACCTGGCAAGGGCAGTCAAGGTCATGGCTTGGAATTCAAACCTCGCAAACCATCTAGATATCGTCCGGGCCCGAAAGGGCTACCATCAAGGACTCAAAGCTCTGGGAATCGATGCGAACCAACTTTGGCGTGAGAGACGCGACGATCGTCTCCAGCTGAAACATCATAAAGCGTTGCACACATTCATTTTTGGGGACAGATACAATGATCCCCGTTCCTACAACTCGCATCTTTGGAGAGCTGCCTGCGCCGAGATCCTGATTCTACTCCTTGCTTTACTGCCCAACCTGACTACCTTTATAGCTGATGGCGACTGCGACATGTTTTTTTCGCCATCCGCCTTAAGAGTATATGGCGTCAATAGTATAAAGCTAAGGCAACTTCTGGCAACTCACCTCCCTCATGTAATTCTTGACGTGGCACCAGATCTGGAACATTTGGTAATCGGACACTTTAATCCACGCAATATTTACTCCCCTATATCGAGTAAGATACTTGGAGTGATAGGCTAATTGATGTCCGAGCAGGACTTCAAACTAGAGGAAGCACCCCCTTACAGACTGGATACCCGTGATCTAGAGAAAATCCTCACTTCTCGTGGTCAGCCTCTGCGGCACTTTTGGTTTGAGACATCCCGCATCAATACCAGAGTCGATATACCCCGCATCTCATTCAGCTATCTCGACAATTTCTGCACGACTCTCGAATCCCTTCATCTGGAATATAATGTTGACGCCCGTCTTTTCGGGTCGACAATGAGATCCCTGAAAAAGTTTACCAGTCTGAAAGAAATCTTCATCACCGCGAATCTGATCTATTCTATTCGAGAGGATGATGATCCGACGAGAGATGCGAACTCTCTTGTCAACTTCTTGCCTGATCAGATTGAGATCTTTACGGAAATTGACTGGACTCCACCGCCTTTTGAGCACCAACCCCTTGCACGTGGGTTCGATGGTTTGCTAGACGCTATGATACAAGGGTCATTTCCTAAATTGAGACGCGTCAGGTATGAGTCAAAGCGTTGGCGAAAGGTTAGAAAGATATATCGTCAAGTAGGTGACGTAATAGAGGCGGAGGACTCGATTTTGAGGAGGTAGAGACTGCTTGGGCTATATTTTGAATGTCGTCACAATTTAGAATTTATTTGAATGCCTTGACACTCTCCTGCAATATTGCTAATTGTCCGTTTTCTTGTGCCCTCCTATAACCCCATACGATGTCCCCCGTAGAGCTCTCGGGCGGGTCTATGAAAACGCCGGTAATCCTGTGTGACTCAGGTAAAATCGAAATAGGGGCATCTATGAGACTCTCTAAAGGATGGTCTTCAATAGGGGAGCATCCGTAGTACCCCTCCTCCTCGATTTGAATGACCCTGCAAGCAATTGCTGCAGCCAAGGGCCCATTCCATATTCCCTCCTGGTGCGACACAGGAAGAAGCAGCTTTAGAGCACGTCGTCGAGTCACCGGGCAGCGGCATTTTAGAATTGTGTAATATAGAGGCAATATGATACCCATATCGGCGCTGAAGCTGAACTTCTCAGTGCAGGCCCCGCAGATGATATCTGCAGCCATGACGGACGCAGCAGCCTCCAGGATATGATCAGAAAGACTGACAACGGAGTCGAAACTCGACTTGAACAGGTCGTAGGCGAGTTCATCGCTCGGGGCAAGACAGGTCCTAGCCATTACATATGCCATAACATGATGGATCCGGAGAAGTGTAAGCGGCAGCGACTCCTCTGAATCACTATTGGCAATATCTTCATAGGAGTGTTTGAAGAGGCTGAGCCAGCAATCGAGGTCTTTCTGGATGCGTCGCTGCTTTTGCAACATTGTAGTCGTGACTGAACAGGAAAGGGCCTGTAGCTGGCGAGCATCTGCTTCAAGTCGGTGTATTCTATTGAACAGTTCATCGAGGTGCAGCCTTGCTACAGCTAATGTAGGAAAGGATCGGCTTTGACCGCTAAGTGCGCCATCTTGAGTTACGATGGAAATATTCCGAGGGAATCGGTGGAACCTGGCTGAATAGACGTACAAGCGGAGGAATGCCTCCGTGACAACATCTTCTATTGACTCATTATGGGCCTTTAGCACAAGAGCACCGTCCCCCAGGCATGACTGCGAGTTGAGTAGAGGCAGCAAGTTCAATCCGTTCTGGAGGTGGTCGGCGCCTGTCTTGATATTACCGCGCATGAACTCGAGGCAGATGAAGATGAGACATGAGATGGCCACGATTCGGATTGATTCCTTATTTCCGGTAATCAGGTGATGTTGGAGCTGAAATATGGCCGCGTTGTAGTGCTGCAATGTAAAGCTCTCATTTTCAGGCATGCCTGCCGGCGAGAGCATTCCCGATTTATGGGCAGAGGCCAATGCCACTAGTGAGTATAGGACTGCATTCTCCTGGGTGCTGACCTGGAGAACGAGCTTATTCCAGAATTCAGACGCAAATATGCCGGGGATCTTCTTTCTTGCCCGGGTTACAAACCAATTGAAATATGACTGGGTATGTGTGTCTCGGGAGACTGAGCATGAGGGGTTCATGTGCTGAGAGGGACTTCTAGCTGTAGAGGGAAGTGGGTGTTTCGAATCCCAGACGCCATATCCGTCACATGCGCGGCCTGTACTAGAGCAGCGTAGACATACAGGGCGCCCCTCGTCACATTTGATGCGTCGAATTCTACAGCAGAAAAGATCAGCTGCTGATGCCGGGCACATCTGGTCAACTTACTTGCAAGTCCGACACCCTAACCTTGATCTTGTGGACCTTTTGCCTCCTCTAGAAGTTCTGATGGGATTCATTTCATTCGTGACTGACTCGGCTTATCAGATGCCGGGTTGCAAGGCGGCTCTGATGAATGAAGTGACGCGTTCACGTCGAGTGACAGTGATGAGGTGGAATTGAGCAAAAGCCATTCTACCGACCGTTCCCTTCGAACAACTACCGAGTGAACTTAGTCTAGGGTGGGCGCCCCGTATATGTCGAAGAAATGATTGGCCAGTTCGGCTATCACTCTTTATGATTGGTAGACATAACGCTTTCATTTTGACAGGGCATGCTCGGTCGAACCGGATCAGGTTAGCAATATTAACCTGGCTGGAAGCTGGCATCATTGGTCCATTCGCGTATCCTTTGACACGATTGGGTAGACGGCTTCAAAGTCCGGTATTTGATCATGATCTTCAAAAGGACATTATCAACCGCCTCAAAAGCCTTGCTTTAGTTGCGGAGTTATCGTTTGTCATCAACTAGACTCCGCAATTCCACTCCACGCAGATATCAATGGCATGGCTCTCATATTTTTATAAGAGTCGAGGGATCCCCGTGGGTAAGCTCAGAACCAGCCTACACTCCTCTTCAATATTGCAACTCTTGACTCACGAGTTCTTTCTTCCCCAATCCTCCCTTCTTCACTCGTCAATACCTGACCCATTCACTATGGGACATGGCAATTCCTTCGATCCCAATAGAGACATTCCCTCTCTGGAGGGTAAAGTTATCCTCATCACGGGCGGTAATGTTGGTCTTGGCAAGCAATCTGCACTAGATCTATCCAAACACCAGCCTTCCGAGCTCTGGATCGCTGCTCGCAGCGCCAAAAAGGCCGATGCAGTCATTACTGAGATCAAACAAACAAGTCCTGGCGTTCAGGTTCGGTTTCTCGAACTGGATCTAGCATCGTTTGCCTCCATCAAAACAGCCGCCGAGACCTTTCTTAGTTCCGTCTCTCGCCTCGATATTCTTATGCTTAATGCTGGTATCATGGCATGCCCCCCTGGTCAGACTATGGAGGGATATGAGGTGCAGTTTGGCACAAACCACATGGGGCATGCTCTACTGACCAAAATGCTCCTGCCACTCCTGACCCGCACTGCCTCGTCATCTCCCAGGAGTGATGTACGAGTCGTGAGCGTAAGCTCTGTTGCCCATAAGTTCGGCCCCTCAGGCGGCATTCAATTCGACACACTCAAGTCTACTGCGAGCGGAATGTCAACTAACGATCGCTATGGACAAAGCAAGCTCGCGAATATCCTCTTCATCAGGGAGCTTGCCGCGCACCACCCTGAGATTACCGCAGCGTCAATTCACCCTGGCACCGTCAAGACAGACTTGCAGAAGTCAAATGATGGGAGCTGGATGATCAATGTGTTTCAGAAGGTCGTTGTTCCACTCATTGGAGTCAGTGTAGAAGAAGGGGCCAAGTGTCAGTTGTGGGCGGCTACAGCTAAGGGAGTTCAGAGCGGAGAGTATTATGTTCCGGTTGGTATATCGGGAGGAGGGAGTCAGTTGTCTAAAGACAAAGCCTTGGCAAAGAAGTTATGGGACTGGACTGAGAAGGAGCTGGAGTCATATTTTTGATGAATTGTAGTTGACGTCTTTTACTTAGGATATCTAGAAAAACGACCAACTCACAATCTAATGCTCAATCATCCTCTGTCTCAAGCTTGTCGAAATTGGCCTTGACGACTACGTCGTAGAGTTTCATTACCTGACCAGCATCGAGTTTATCACCTGTTTTGCGACCCTCAACGGCGTGTTGGACAATGGCAGGACAATTGTCTTGCTTCATGGCCCAGTTGGCACCCTCTAACTTTGAGCAAAACTCCCCTGTGGCAATGTATCGCCAGCTTCGGCAAGCGTTCAGCACGCTGTTTGTTGACGTAGCTTCGTTTGCTTGGTGCCATGCGAGGGAGTCTGCCATTCCCTCAAGGACCCAGCGACGAGGAATGGCCCCAAAAGCCTCAGTGAGATCAGCACCATACAAGCAGCGGCCCAGTTGGCGTCCCGTGGCAATATCTAGCAGGAACCAGTGGCTTGATTCGTTTTCGGGGTTGAGGCTGATATGATCGGATTGGTGAGGCCCTGTGTTCAGATTGAGTTCGAAGGCGGGGTGGCGGCTCGCGGGATTCACCGAGCCTTGGGCATACACGACGAACTCGAGTTTCGTAGCCGGGCAAGGGAAGATTTTGTGGGTCAGACGAGAGATGATCGCTTCCTTTTCACTGGTTTCCAGTGGACTTTTGACGATCGCCTGCACGTCGAGGTCGCTGAGGCCGGGCTGATAGGCGTCATAGCTGGCTGAGCCGAAAAGGTATACACCGACCAATTGGTCTTTGAGATGGTCGGTGAGACGCTTGACCAGTTCGCTAAGGTATTCTTTCACGTGCTCCGGTAGGTTGCTTTCCATTATGACTCCAACGCTTGTTAGCATGTTTAGTTTTACATGTCATTTAAAGCGTACATACAGTGTTTGGGGGAGAACGGGCATAGTATGGATGCGCTAAAAGTTAGTGAACAAGGAGCAAGACTGTTTATTTACGCCAGTATATGGCGAAAAAAAATATTGTGACACTGTAGACCTTTGTTATTAGGTATCAGAGTCGCAAAGGGAGAAGTAAACCGCGTCCCACCAGTGCGGGGATGGAGAATATAAGCCTCAGGCACACAAAGAATAAGCATCATGAGGCACCAGCTCCATAGTCAAGGTACATATGTATGAGAGAAAGT